CAAGGATACGTAGTGAAGACGAATGAGGTATTATGTTCATTCGCGCATAAAATCAGTGCTCCGTACGTCCCGAAAAGAGCTCATTATCAGTTGTTCAGGGCTGTACGTTGAAGATTCTCCAATGCAGAGGGAGGAGGGAGGGGGTCGCCATAAGTCTGGCTTTTTTTCTATTGCTTGATTTTTGGGATATATTCTCCAACACCGAGACAAGCCTCGGTTTTTTGGTTGCCGCATCGGATAAACTTAAAAAGGAAAAAAAGTACGCCTCACAAGCAATAATTTGAGAAAAGTAAATTTTTCAGTGGAACGCGGAAGAAATGGGATTTCCACCCTTTTAAGGTGAAATGTGACTTTTCAAAAGAAAATATGACTAACTCTAAAACTCCTAACGCATTTATACAAGAGAACCTCGAAAAAGCGGAAATATATGAGGATTCAAAAGGATCAAACCTCATAGGTGCCGACCATTCCTTGAACAAATCGATTATCGACACGATTCGCTGCCAGAAAGAAGACCCCATCAGCGATCAACGAGCATATTACTAAAACAATTCAAGTATTGGTTGACCTAATGAAAGTCTTAAATGACCGGATACTTACAGGCGATGAAGAGGGAGATGACGAATGCAAAAGCTGTTGGAGGAAAGCAGGTGGCGCACACTCCTGTGCAAATTGAGAGGAATGCTAACAACTGCGAGGTAATAATGAAGAACAATATCGCTTTGTGCCATGCTGAAACGAAACAATTCTAAGCATTCTGTCATTTCTAGATCCGTAATCCGGAAGTGGGACTCAGGTGGTATAAGGGTCGGCGCGAACAGGGTCCTCTAAACGGTCCTCTCAATATAATTAAGAGCCAGAGGTGGTGTAGTAACAAGTGGCTGCTTACCACGCGTGCTGCCTAGATGTCAAGCCCCAGATCGGCTCCCACTAGCGTCAGTTAAGACCCTTATCCCTCCGTGAATTGGCACTAGACGGAAGGCTAATAACATGACGTGTAGAGACTATGTCGCTGTATCGAATTCAGGGGACACCACAATTTTTGATCAATGAAAAATGCCTGCCACCTTCCAAAAAGGTATCGACTACTTGTGGGAGCTCCGCTCTTTTTCCCGGGAGATGTGATGTGAGATCCGGTG